TTGCTAGCCCGGAGAGTTTCCATGCGACCTGGGTGAAGTGAGCTGACTGTACTGACGGGTGAACTTTGTGATCTGGTCCAGCAAACAAGACCGGAGAGGCTGACAGCACGCGCGGAATGTCCACCACTAGTGCCAAGAGAGCTGGAAACCAAGCCTGGCCGGGCCAAAGCGGAGTGACCATGACTATGGATGGGATTTCCTGTGGAACAACCCTGGCCGGGCATTTGCCAATCAGATAGATTGGAGGGAAGGCATAGACTTGCAGGCAGGACCAGTCGAGACAGAAGGCATGCGGGCTGTGTGCATATGGGCGCCAACTGACGTACATGTGCAGTCGAAATTTAGTGCGAGATGCAAACAGGTCGCAGGCACTCGGTCACATGATCTGGTGAACCTGGAAAACTGACCGGTTGAGCATCCAGGCGCTGGTATCCGTGTGATGGCGAGAGTGATAATCAGCAACTGTATTCACTGCACCAGGTAGATATTGGGAGTCAAAGTGATATCTCTGAGCAGACTGACACCACTCCCACAGCGTGGCAGCTATCCTGTCTAATGTCGGTGATGAACGGCTGCCAGTGCGGGGCAAACAGGGAACAGCCACACGGTAATCGAGCTGCAGGAGAATACTGCCCTGGTATAGAGAAGGCGCTAGCGACTGGACAGCATACTGGACTGTGAGCGGTTCCGGGACATTCATGTGAAGCTGCTTCTCGGCAGATGTCCATCAGCCGCCTGTGGTGACATTGGCACAATATGCACCGGGCCCCACCCCGAATGACCTGCATGGGATGCATCGGACTGGATGGTGAGGCCCGGTTTGGAAAGGCGTACAGGTCGCCCACTCCACAGCTGGAGATGCCAAATCCACTAATGAATCTCGGCATGGCACTCATGACTGAGAGTAAGCCGGTAAGTGTAAAAGGGACCCTGCCGTAGGAACGTGGTCTTCAAACACTGCAAGCGACGATAGTTAAGTGATGCAGGAACCACGGCAACCATGGTGGACACCATCATGCCCACAATTGACGCAATACCCCGAAGACATACGGTGTGAGCAGCCAGCAGACGCGCACATTGTTGTTGAAGCATGGATGCTTTCGAGTCTGGCAATGAGAACTCCATGGTGACGGAGTTGACCTGAATACCCAGGTATTGTATCTGCCTGGTGGGAATCAGATACGACTGCATCCAGTTGATGTCGAACCCAAGACCAATCAGCAGATGAAGAATGGTAGCAACAGGGAGAAACAGGTCGGACGTTGTCCGTGCCATGATAAATATGTCGGCGAGGTGAATCACCAGGTGTAGGCCGAGCGAACGTACCATCTTCACCACAGGGTGCAGAGCTAGTCTTGGTGAAGACTCTGGCCTCTGGGACCACTGCGCAAGCCAAACGGTAGACAGTTAAACTGGGAAATCTGTTGAGACCACTGAAAACTGGAGACACTGACGATCGAGCCGCTGGACTGGAGAAATAAGCATCTCTTAAGTCTATCCCGATCAGCACATCCCCTAGCTGCAGGTGATCCGGCACTGTCTTCAATGACTCCAGTGCGAAGTGGTGATACTACAGATAGTTGTTCAGCGCTCGGAGGTTAATAATTGTGGGGGCCGGGGTTTGCCATTATTAAAATTATTTCTTTTCTTTTTGTTTTGTCTTCTCACATTCGTCACTCTGTGAAATGTCACGAATGATAGCAAATTGCCGTGTACCACAAAGAGCCATTGGCAAACAAACCAATGCATGGCTCGTAATTATTATCGCCTTACTCAGGACCGCCGGATGCAGCGTTTGAGTGGTCCGGTAGTATCATGGCCGTTATACTTTGTGTAGGGTATGACGGGTACACCTGCCCTCCACAGCAGGAAACACGTGTTCGTGGCTGAAAAGTTGGTCCGGTAATAACCTGACCAGCTCCGGCGGCCTGTTATTAATCGCACATCACGGCAGTATGCTACAAGCACAATTGACAAACATGTCACCCGGCAACTGCACACGGGTGCGCGTTACAGGATTGGCCTGGCAACTTCAAACAGGCGCAATTGACAAACATGGTGCTCCGCTGGGCAACGTCAGCGGGAATGCACCAAAACAAACACAGCCCCGGCATCAGCAAACGGGAACGCCGTTACAAATATGGTGCCCCGGTAAACTCAACGGGAGCGCACTAATACAAGCTGGCCTGGTAGCTTCAAACAGGCACAACTGACAAACGTGGTGCTCCGCTCGGCAACTTCAGCGTGAGTGCACCAATATAAACACGGCCCCGGCAACAGCGAACGGGAAAGCCGTTATAAACATGGTGCCCGGAAAACTCAACGGGAACGCACCAATGCAAGCTGGCCTGGCAACTGTAAAGCGGCACAACTGACAAACGTGGTGCCCCGCTGGGCAACTTCAACGGGAATGCACCAATACAAACACGGCCCCGGCAACAGCAGACGGGAACGCCGTTTCAAACATGGTGCCCCGGCAAACTCAACGGGAACGCACCAATACAAGCTGGCCTGGCAACTTCAAACAGGCACAACTGACAAACGTGGTGCCCGGCTGGGCAACTTCAACGGGAATGCACCAATCATGTGACAAACACGGCCACGGCAACAGCAAACAGAATCGCCGTTACAAATATGGTGCCCCGGCAAACTCCACGGAAACGCACCAAGCTGGCCTAGCAAATGGGTACACTGTTACAACATCAGACCATCACATCAAGATGCCGCTGCGGCAACAATGTATATGTAGCAGCAATACAGCAGACATGTGAGGTGGATGTGATTGGGACCGTTTGGCCCGCGTGCTACGCCTGAGGTGGTGGCAAGTAACACTGTCCTGATGTGAGGACTCCGAGTCGGCACTACTTCAGTAGCATCTGAGCTCTGACTAGAACTAGACTAGTCTAGAGACTAGAGTAGTGCTCACCCTCATCTGAGTCGGAGTATGCCGGTCTTTGACTGAGAACAGTCAGACTCACACTCGGAGGCACTGGCAACAGTGTCCGCCGGACTCGTAGGCACTTAGGCCAACCAGGTCGTGAGACCGTTCAGGCCGTTTAGGCCGTTAGTGCTCGTCACATTTAAGGACGCACTATGGTGCCGACAAGGTGCCGGGCTGGAGCCACCAGCCACTCGTGTCCTGGCTTCGCCAGAAACATCACACGACCCAAAGTCACGGCGTGACTCGCGTGGACGCAAAACACTCAAAGCACCCGGCCCATCTTGGGGTGTCATCACACGCCCGCATCCACGGCTCAGGGGGTTTCGACCGCATCGGCCGGCACGTGGGCAAGGCGGCGAGCCGCCTGATCATCGTCACGCAAAGACTCTAAAAGCTTCTCCATCGCCACGAGTCTAAGACGGTGAGAGGAAAATATCCAAGGCACTTCTTGTTCGAGCATGAAAAAAGGCCTGAAGGGCCTTGGATGAGCTGCATCAAGTACAGCTTCATTAGAATATTGAACTTTAAAAAAATGCTGTGTTCGAGCATGAAATCGCGTAAATCGCGAGGGCTAGACATAGTTATATCTCACCGGAAACTCCGACATGCAATCGTCAGGCCCCGGCCCGGTTCATGCTGCCTATAGCCTAGGGCTTGAAAGTGATGATGTCAAAACGGCCAGGGAGTAGTAAGTTGACAGCAGATTTCTATTTTTGGATCCACTAAGGTGTGACTTTGCTATTGCCTAAGTATGTGGGTGCATAGCAACCCATCATTTGGCATGCAGGTGTGACTTTTATTTCGCCACCAGTTGTAACCCCGCCCCCAGTAGCCAAATCAGTCAGTTTCACTAGCTACATCACCATGCTGTGGGTAAGACCGCTTGAAATGTGCTTGGATCCATGCAAAAACTGGATCCAAGTGGATCCAGTTTTTGAATTTTTGAAATTGTTGCTATGCTGTGACGTAGCACTTTCAAGCCATAGGGCCCTATTGGATCCAGTTTTTGTATGGATCCAAGCACATTTCAAGCCGTCTTACTCTCAGCAAGGTGATGTAACCAGTGAAACTGACTGCACAAACAATACGGAGGATTAGCAAGACGAAATTCGCGTTCGCGTTCGCAAACATTTTTCAGTTAGCGAACTGGATTGCGAACTTTCGCATTTTTCGTTCGGAAAAGTAGTCGGAACACGAATCGCGGATTCGTGTAAGGACAGTCATAAATTTACTACGCTATACTGTCTGCAGACTCTGCAAACAATGGACGACGTGTCAACGTCATGCATGTGCGAAGTCTGTTTGCTAATCCTTCTCATAACGCGAATTCCGTCACTGAGTTCGACTTTCCTTGGAGAGCGAACGCGAACGCGAATTTCGTCTTGCTAATCCTCCGTAGTAGTGAGGTTTTGCATTCCGAATTTCGGTTCGGCGCTCTTCGGTCATTTGTCGAACATCAAAATGTCGAATTTTCGCACCAACGTTTGTTTTGCAAGTCGAAAATGATGTGTTTTCATTTCGTGAGCCCTAGCATCAGCAACGTCCTGTCCCGTGCTCCTATTCTTGCCGATTCCAACGAACTTTGATCGCCCTAAGAGCCGAGGGCCAAACCTGTCGCCTCAGAAAAACCAACTCCATGGCCAAGTCAAACTTTATGAGTATCGCCACAGTCTTTTCAGCCACACAGATGACGATGAGGACACTCCAGGCGAAAGAGAGTAGACAAGCAGTGGAGGAGCAATCAGAGGTAGCTGACGACGCTGATGTCGCCCAAGACGCCTGGGAAGCGATGCCGAGATAAGAAACCTCTTTGAATAAATCACGCGCTAGCGCTCTTCTACAGAAAATTCATCCGAAAAATATTTTCGGCAAAGTGAGCTTTTTCCGAACAAACATGCCAAATCTTCGCGTGCATTTACGACCTCGCTCCCGCGTGCCGAATCTTTTTGCCGAATTTCGGAATGCAAAACCTCATTATTATACATAATTTTCGGGTTACAAAACGTCGCTAGCGCGCTGCGCATGCGGTAGAAAACTTTCCAATCAACCAAAGGAAAAAAACAGTCGAAAAAACTTCCGAAAAACGGAATGCAGAACCTCTCTAGCTCATGTCATTTAAACTAACTTCTTCGTGCGATAGCGGTGGTACCATTTATCCACTCTAACTTTTTGGCGATGGCTTGCGAATAGAGACAGCCAAAAGCACGATTTCTGCTCGCTAGCTGTGCTCCGCATTTCATTAGAACTTTGTTGAAAAGCAACACACAAGAAGGTCTGAACAGTGCCGGTTGCAGCTTCAGCCTTCCCTCCCTGGCTTTCGGCTTGCTGCAGCGACAGAGACTGCGGCGCCGTGTTCACGTTGATTGACCAGTGAGCGCTGCACACAAGCTAGCTACAGAGATGGCGGGGATCAACGAGGAGAGTTTCCTTGGACTACACATGGGCTGTCCAGCTTTAAATTGTGACAACAGATCGTAAGTACTTCGACTTGTTTTATTCAAATCCCCACATTTAATTAAGTGAATAATAACAAGAAGGTACAAGAGAGGAGCTAGAGAGAAAAGGGAAACCAAGAAGGCGACCATGTAGAAAAAGAAAAGTCACTTGAAAGATTAGAACATTGAAAGGATCAGTCACGCAATACGTACTACTCCCTACTTCAATTGTGTTCTTGACTGAGCATGCTGAACATGCACGAAGCATATCATTTTCCACAGGTGTGGGATGCTGTTGCAGTAATGGATAATGTATTCTCGGGGCAAGGTCAAGTTTGCATCCATGAGTTAGCCACGTCTGTTCCAGAAGTTACGGGCTCTGTGGGGATTCCTTGTTGCACATAAACGTATTGCGAGCTCGGCTTGGTATTCTCTTTTGTTTGTTCTGTGGTTTCGTTCTGCCCCCCCCCCCCCCTCCCATCCCCTCCTCTCTCTCTAACGTCCATGTTGATGTCTGATTGCAACGGCAACGCTTTGACCTCTGGTTGTGTGGAGTTGCTCACAGTACATGTACATGCTGGTGGCAGCCTGTGATCGTAGCTCACCAGTTTCAATACTCCTGTGCCTGTGTTTGTTTGATTCAAACTGCAGCAACAAAGACGTGGTCCGCAACCGTTGGGCCAGCAAAGAATGCAATGGGATGATGTGGATTAGTCAGAAAGGCAACTTGCGCTGCGTGCACCATCACGCAACGCGTCCCTGTGTCTACGGCCCAGTGAATAGCTTCAAATTCGACTGTGGCCTGCGCGGCCAGGGTTCGCCTCATAGCCTCCAGGAGCCCTTCGTTGCGACTGATCCACAAAGTATTTGTCACGCAGTAGCTGTTGCGCTTGCAATGGGTTACTTTGGTTCTGGGGTGATGCCGTGGAGCACGGAACTGATGGGTAATCTGGTTGAACAATTTCCTGATGAGCCGTCTGCATCTGTACGGCAAAACGTACGTCGTATGACACTGGTACCTGTTGCCGATTAATAGTCTATCACATGTTCCATTCCACATGTACATGTAGTATAGTACGAAGAGATAGTGCCGTCCGGTCTGTCTTGCTTCGTGATCGAGTAACTTCCCCTCTTTTGCTTATCTCTGATAACATGAGCCTCCCAAGTTGGGTGGTCGTTGTTTCACGTTTCCGAAGTGAGCTGTGGCCGTCCTGTGCCGTGGTCCTTCGTCCTTCATCACCATCTTGTCATAGCTAACATTCTTAGTTCGCTGTGATATTTAGCTTGTTTTCGTCTAGAGTGCACTCACCTTCCCCTTTCTTACGTTACTTCATAACTTAGAACCTTTCAAGTTGGAAGGCTGCTAGTTTGCGCATTCTAGACGCGATGCAGCTAAGCATCATGTTGTTGAATGTCATAATCTCATCAGTCAGTTTTGTGCGAATTGTTGCACATTTTTGACTCAACAGTATTCTGCTTATAACTGTTAGTGTTGGAGAAAAAGGATAACTTGTTCCCGTAGCTATGCAGAAGACGTTACTTCAGTAACGACTGGCGCTAGCCAGGGTCCACACAGCTTTAATTTGGTGTTTGTGTGTTTGTGTCACGCCTGGCGCTATACCGTATCTGTCCCGTACCGTACCGTACCATCAAACACAGCTGGCCACATACAGCTGGCCGCACTATTCAAATAGGGTTTTCAAACGCAAGATCATAACGTGAAGCAACTTGGAAGAATGAGTATGAATGCGAAGTGTATGGGGGAATGCATGTAGGGCGATAGTGCGGGTTCGAATCCCAGGTAATGCCTGGAAAAAAATAGGAAAATTGAAAAATTTATAACATCCCTATTCTTTTTTTGCCGTCATCAAGGCGGTAGATGGTGTCGTATTATCCTCGACCGTACCTGTCCCGTACCTGTCCCGTATCTGTCCCGTACCGTACCGTACAATCAAAGTCGGCTGGCCACAATGCATATTCAAATACGGCTTTCAAATACAAGATCATAACGTGAAGCAACTTGGAAGAGTTAGTATGTATGCGAATTGTATCGGGGGATGCATGCAGGGCGATAGTGCGGGTTCGAATCCCAGGTTATGTCTAAAAACAAAAAGTAGAAATTTATAAGAATTTATAACATCCCTATGCTTTTTTTGTCTAGGTCATCAAGGCAAAAAAGCATAGCGTAGGGCCCTGAGCTTCCATGCTCTCTCGTAAACTTTTAAATAACCGACGAGGAGACAACAGTCGTAAAATAGCAATGAACAATATCAATTGTGCACTCATAACCATGTATTAACAATTAAAATGAAACAATTCCAGAACGGTTTCTTGTGACTATCATCAGTGGAACATCGTCACATAGTAAGAATCACTAAAACAACCAGTTATATAGCTACAGAACTAAATATTTCGACAGAGCTTTCGGCCATATTTTCAATTCATTGCATTCCCAACTCATCACAACCCCGCGCTCTTCAGCCGAACCATACATAATCATAGGCCGCGCCCAAGGCGAGACTCACCGCCGAGATCCCCCAACGCGACAGGCTCGGTTGCCGTTCAGGATTCACACCGACCTGTCCGCCCGTCAACAGGATCGACAGCAAGGAGCCTGTCGCGTTGGGGGATCTCGGCGGTGAGTCTCGCCTCGCCTGCATACATGGACATTGCAACATCATAATAATAAACAACATACATGTACTTTCCATTGGCATCAGTATTCCGCGTAAGATTTTCGTCGCCTGTGTGGTGTGTTTCTCCACCAATGGGCGCGGCCTATGATTATTTATCGCTGTTCTCACACTTTACCATTTTAGCAGCTTGCATATGCCATTGATATATGTGGAAAGCGCGCACTTGCGCCATTTCTGGTGTATAAGACTGATCATTTCTCCATTATCATCATTATCATCCTCTACTGATGAGCTCCGACAGGGAGCGAAACAGCTGTCTAGAGGCGTGGAGCAATATTATCTCTCAACGGAAGTGTCCTTGCTGGTGTCTGTATGGTTCGGCTGAAGAGCGCGTGGTTGTGATGAGTTGGGAATGCAATGAGTTATATAGCTAGAGTATAATATGAAAAGAAGCGTGTGAATGCAGCACAGCTAGCGGTTATGCATAACGCGTGTAGTGTGAACCTTTGCAGTGTATCTGAGAATGGTAGCTATATAACTGGTTGTTTTAGTGATTCTTACTTTGTGACGATGTTCCACTGATGATAGTCACAAGAAAACGTTCTGGAATTGTTTCATTTTGATTGTTTATACATGGTTATGAGTGCACAATTGATATTTTCATTGCTATTGTAAACTTTTGGTCCTCTTTTTGAGTTTCCTATGTAATCGGATATGGAGAAGTGTGAATTATTCTAAAAGCTGTGATGTGGAAATGAATGTTTTCAATACGAGGAAACACACACACACACACACACACACACACACACATCACACACTCGCACACACACACACACAAATTCTACGTACATGTATCTACTTGAAGTACATTGCACCCACCATAGTGTCGGTACTCCCTTCGTACGGTCTTATGTACTTACAAGTAGATAAAACAAATGTAGTTTAATTTTTAATTTTTTTTACCTCCCTCATATTCCTCAATAGTAGAGGGTAGACGCTCTGAGCTTTTATCCCAGACTTGAATTACATTTTGGTTTGATGCATAATTATGCTACACCTCATCAGCACAGCTTGTCAATGCCTTCTTTTATGACTGAATGTTGTGATTCAGCTTTCATTGTCAGTTAGTATATTCAGGACTGGTATACTTGTGGAATTCGATAACCCATTTATCATTATGTATGGAGTAGGCTGCATACGACTCGTATTTTGTACTTCGAAGTATGGAGCTAGCGGAATTGTCTGGACCTTCATTCATTATTCTTTGCTCTGAATTCATCGCATCACACTATTGGGCAGCACCGCTCCTTTGATATCGATGTCAAATAAACTCAAATACAAATACAATTACAATAATAATACAAAGGAAAATCCGGTGGAACAAAAAGTGATTTTAAGGTAGCAGCCTGGTCGTAAATTTCATATGGCATTCAATTGACCGTAACTTTGGTGTCTCTCAATGGATTTGAGTGAAACTTCCACCACACACTCCTGCCACTATGCTAGCCCTCTGGACATGATTTAAAAGTTCTTGCGCCTCACTGACAGGCTTTCCAGGCCGGAAAACTCAAAATTCCGGAATAGTGCCACGGTGTGCGAGCCACCCAGGAGCCAAACAAATACATTTACATGTACAATTTTTTCACATTTTCTAGCCAATTCTCTCCGTGCGCAGGATTCAAACCTAAAAAACGTCCAGAAGCAGCCATGGGTGGTGGGATAGGGCCCTTCAACGTGGCCCTGGAATCTGTCACAATGGCAGAAGCGGGCGTTCTGTCACAGACTCCCACAGACCGAAGTCAATTTTGAATTTTTTTAGGTTCAGGGCGTGCTACGAGGTCGTACCTTTGATGCAACATCCAGTGCTGGGACCTCCACAGCAAGCCATTTCCACAGCGCTTCCAACCGAATCCAGGATACCCTCCAAAATCGGCAAAGACTACCACTCACGTTCTGCTACTGCCTAGTACTGAATCCTACCTGACTTCTTGACATGACTCAAACTTGCCAAAGTCACTAAATCAACGTCAACTACAATAATCAAGCCACATATCTGCCACGTCACGAGGGTGCTGGCAAAAGTCCTGCTGCACGGTGGCGAGCTTCGCCCACTTCGCCCGCCGCCGTGCAGCCCAATAGGCAATACGTGCTTTTTAACGTGATTGTTTGGTGGAGCAAAATTCTGCACACTATCGCGTGTTTCCATCTTACGACACGTTGCGCACGGTCTGCTCACATTCAAACACAGTGCTGCCAACAAATGACAGCGTGCAACAAAAAAATCTTTCCTTGCAAGGGCACATTTTTGGCCATAACTCTTGAACAGCTGGTCAGATCGAGACAAAATTTTCAGAGATTTTGCAGCTGTTCATGCTCTTTCAACTGATGTAGCACTCGATATGAATTTAGTGACCTAGGGCTGAAACGATCATTCAATAACTCCTAACGATCAACCAATATCACTAACGATCGATATATTGGTTTTATCGATTCTTGTCGGCTCTATCGAACACCAGTTTATGAAGAAATTCTATGATGCCTTCGCTACGTTAGAAATTTGTGGTACCGCACTGTTCACATCTGTAGATATCTGGCTGGTTTTATCAACATTCATGTTGTTTCTAGAGCGAAAAATCTTGTCATCACCCTCTGGCAACTGCTCGAAATCTCCGACTTTTCCCACAAATGAACCGAAAAAGGCAAAGTCTGCTCCGCCGATCTCTTTCAAAGCCACACATCAATTTTACAGTGCTTGAAAGTACATGATTGCACTCGTATTCACTATCAGATGGAGTGCAAGGGCTAGAATACTGTCACTGATATGCATGCATAAAAAATGTTTAGCACTCGTTCTGAACACTAACGATTATCGATTGCACTCTTAACGATCGATATGCGAGTTATCGGTATAATTTTTTCGGCCCTAGAATTTACAAATTCGATTTTTCAGGGATTTTACGACCAGGCTGCCACCTTTTAAAATGTCTCTGCTCACGAGTTTCATGCTGAAAATCAATCATCAGAAGACTGGGCCTAAACTCGGGGTTGTGTGGTCTTATTCACTTTAACAGTATAAGCGCTGTCCCATGGCAGGTATGCAATGCTAGTGTTTCAGCGCGAAGGCAGTGTAAGTGATCAGTATAATTATAGTACTATGCGGGTGGCATGGGGATACATGACACCGGCCAAGGCGCTTCCGGGACGCGGGGCAGAGGAGAATAATTAAATTTTCAGGTAGCAGCCTGGTCGTAAATTTCATATGGCATTCAATTGACCGTAACTTTGGTTTCTCTCCATGGATTTGAGTGAATTTTTCACCACACACTCCTGCCACTATGCTGGCCCTCTGGACATGATTTAAAAGTTCTTGCGCCTCACTGACAGGCTTTCCAGGCCGGAAAAACTCAAATTCCGGCGTAGTGCCACGGTGTGCGAGCCAACCAGAAGCCAAAAATGCATTTACAATATTTTCACATTTTCTTGCCCATTCTGTCCGTGCGCGGGATCCAAACCTAAAAAAGGTCCAGGAGCAGCCATGCGTGGTGGGATAGGGCCCTTCAACGTGGCTCTGGAATCTGTCACAACGGAACGAGTGGGCGTTCTCTCACACACTCCCACAGACCCAAGTCAATTTTTGAATTTTCTTAGGTTTAGGGCGTGCTACGAGGTCGTACCTTTGATACAACATCCAGTGCTGGGACCTCCACAGCAAGCCATTTCCACAGCGCTTCCAACCGAATCCAGGATACCCTCCAAAATCGGCAAAGACTACCACTCACGTTCCACTAGTGCCTACTTGTAGTACTGAATCCTACCTGACTTCTTGACATGACTCAAACTTGCCAAAGTCACTCAATCAACGTCAACTACAATAATCAAGCCACATATCTGCAACGTCACGAGGGTGCTGGCAAAACTCTTGCTGCACGGCGGCGGGCTTTTTTTG